ACTTTGAATCACTTACCCTCTAAGCTTGTCTACCGTTTGCTCTGTTACAGTTTGGACCGTAGTTTCTCCATTTTTCTGTTGAAATTGCTGAAATATTTTTGCTTAGGCAAATGGCGTGCATCAACGGAGCAGGATGTGGCAAGGTTTAAAGTTTTTTTTTACCCATACATGAGCATAAAAATGCACATTTTTTGACTGGAACTACATTCTTAAAATGTGTATTTTTTACACATTTCAAGATCTCCAATATTTTTTGACAGCCGCCTTTATGCACAAAAAATGTGTATTTTTTTACTCATTTATATGTTTACGCTGGTTACCGTGTTGGCGGGACTCTTATTATAACGTAAAGGCCTGTATAGAGATCGAAGTGAAGCGAAAAATTCATACAAAATACTAAATTTTTCACCTGCGCGAAAAACGCAATTGGCAAATATTTCGCTTCGCTTTGAACTGTAAACAGATGCGATCCAGCGAAATCTTATTTTGTGGATCGTATCTTTTTCGCTTAAGCCTAGTATACAGATCGAAGCGAAACGAAATTTGAAGCACGCGAAAAATCATGAAATTTCGCTAGCGAAAAAGGTTGTGAAAAAAAGTGTGTGGAACATTTTCCAGTTTCCTTTTTTCGCAGTTTACAGGTTCATGTGAAACGAAATCGATCAGTTTACACCTCCGGTGAAGTGAAAATCTGACAGATACGCTCTCCCGAAACGTCAACTTTTCGCTTAGCTGCTGCTCTTTTCGCGAGCGCTGCATGCGCGGAAAAAAAATAAACCTCTTAGATTATAACATTGACTCTAATATGGACCAAAAGGTCTGTGCCATAAAAAGGGAGGAAAAATCAAGGTGGCTATATATAGGTGTTCTAATGTGTCAAATTCATGATTCAGCCATGTTGGATTATTGTACATATATTTACATTAAATTACATATATCACAAGTAACAAGGAACACGTTAAAATTCTGCACGGTCGCCTATCCATCTTGCTTGGAGGTTTACCCGGCACTAATGATTCAATTAATTGCCTGATCGTCGCTGTCTTTGGATGCTGGAATGGCTGAAAGCGAGAGAACATTGCTTCTCCCATCGCTCCTGTTGCCGATCGATGGTGATCGATGATCGGTGATCCTCTCCTGTCCTGTGATGTGTGACTGCACTTCCGTTGCTCCATGTATGGGTATGTCCGAATAACGATGCCCAAAATTCACCTCGTAATCATCTCATATGGTACACTGATAAAATTCGACACATTTTTATTGGCGAATTTCCATGTAAAATTCCACATGATTTTCATGTGTCCACACATAAACAGAATTCACTCAGAAGTACACATGAAATTTATGAGTCAAATGAATAGTATGTGTGGTTACAAATGAATTGTATGTGTACACATAAGAACTATGTGTCTGACACATATATATCATTTGTTTATCACATTGCAAAAATTCATGTGTGGGACACATAAAAATAATCATTGAATTTTTATTAGTGTACAATGGGGTGAAATATTCTTCGGTCGTGTTTATTCAATTTGGGCTGGGCTACTCTCGAACACACGGTAACTGCAAAATACCCAATAATGACTACAAAGTAAGCATTTTCGAGGGAGACTGGGACTATCCATTAAATGAGTAAAAATATAACCCATTTATGAGTATTTGTTATTCACTTGTTTTTGTAGTTGTAATTACTCATAAATGCGTAAAATTTTACTGATTTAATGGGTAGTCCCAGTTTCCCTCGAAAATGCTTACTTTGTAGTCATTATTGGGTATATTGCGTTTACCATGTATACACCCACTATGTGAAAAATAACATTGACTCTCACGCTATTTCAAAACTACCCAAATTTGGGTACAATCCACCCAGATCGGTCAAAACTAAACCTACCCAAAAATGGGTAAACTGTTATGGGAGTGACAAGTTGACAAATCAGTACCAACATTTCAAAAGGGTGAAACGGACAAATGTAAACAAATTGAGTTTTTTTTATAGAAATGGACACCCTAATAAAAATAACCATAAAAGAGAGCTTAACGACGTGTTTGGGGTATCATCCAGACCATTTGTGAGATAGTTTACCCATCAGGGATACAGTTCGTTTATGGTATTTGTTTATTAGGGCAGCAAGTGATGCAATATTATGAACAATTTCATAAAATTTCACAAAAAAAACTTGTTTTGTCACCCTAAATTAACATTTAAAAAAGGCTTAACTAACTTTTGTAGTTTAGTATAGTGAAGTAAATTTCACCCCTCGGTATGTTCGCCATCAGCGAGGGCGAAACTGCATCCAGGTTTGAATTGTGGCCTCATTTTTGATTTCCGTAGTTTTGATGGTTTTCATGCGAATATTGCAGTATTTTTTTATGTATAACATAGCCTCGTAGCCATAGCGTTTACAACGGTGAAAAAAATCTCCCAAGGTACTCCACCTACGTACATCTAGTTGTAGCACAAACGAAGTGACAGACGGAGCGGCTCGAAAACTTTGGTGACTAACCTGCTATTGCAATTTTTCAGTGTACCACATGGCAACACCACTACTACTGGATTGTACCACATGGCAACACTACTACTAGATTGAACTAGCATTTTCACCAAATGTACTAGAATGTTTTGGTTCTATCTCTTTCACTCTACTCAAAACTGAAATGCATAAAAAAATGACAAAATGATACGCACTCTTTGCACACTGTCAAAGAATCATTGTACACAAAATCAACTTTGTTCAAATCAAAACAAAAAAACTAACCCATCTGGTGGATGATGGCGCAAGCTTCCAGGAAAATTCTATTACAGTGAACCACATTATTTCAATGGATTTCTTCGCCAGTTAGTCGTCTGTAACTTCGTTTGTGGTTGTAGTTTCTAAAATGCATTATTCTCAAATGAATATTACAAGATTGCCCACAACTCAAATTACCTTAAGATTGGAAACCCCAGAACCCGATTAAGATATGTTGTTTTCGCGGTTCCAAATTAAAGATCATGAATCGTGTCCATGAATCGTCGCAAACGGAAAACCAGCTGCTGGGTCAATTCGTTGCTATTGACGTACAATAGATCCAGCTGATTTCTGATGGATGAAACAAACATAAAACCAACGCAATCAGTATCATTTCCTTGATCCTTTGTATGGCACCACTTAGAAGCAATTTCTTACTGAAAAGTACCCACAGTGGCCTCCGTTTGATCTAGCATGTTCAGTTTCTATGATTTTAGAGCGTTCATTACCGCTGGGAGATAAAATTAAAACTTTGACAATTCCATCAGACATGATGATGATGATTTTTGTTTTTGTTTGTTTTCAAAACCATTCAAATTTTGAATTAAATTAAATTAAAGAAAATGAAAGAAATCCAAGATATAAAATTTGATAGTTTGTCAAACAAAAGGTACAAAAATGAAAGGGCGTAATCAAAATTGATGAATATAAAGGGCAAAATCTAATTTTGAGGATTTTTAACGTAAAAAACACAAAATAAAACTCTAAACTTCTATGAACTGATTAACAAGGGTCAACTCAGGTTGAACGGTGCAAATAATAGACCTGTACTGCTTACTGATTTCAATTAAATCCATTTTTTCGCTTCGAAAACTTTGACAGCGTTTTTTACAGCTTGACATCATTGTTAGTTTCGCCGTTTTGAAATGTTTATGCCGAAATGAATAACATTGACATGAATCCGATTGACGTTGTTCATTTGTCAACTTGTCACGTTCAACACAGTTAGTTTACCCATTTTTGGGTAGGTTCAGTTTTGACCGATCTGGGTGGATTGTACCCAAATTTGGGTGGTTTTGAAATAACGTGCTTTGGCTGTTAGAACCAGCTAGGTGGCATCGTGTGGCATCCCTATCTTGTTTGCCTTGCCTTGAAAAGAGCTAACATCGCTGCGGACCCGCGAATTGCGGCCCCCACTGACAGCTCATAATTTGTAATCAAATAGAAGATTCAAGCCAGAATTTCAAAAAAGGCGTGACTGATATTATGGATATTCTCAATATTTTTGCTTAAATTTTGTAAAAAATAAACTTAGGACTCATAAAATATTATTTTCTGATTTTCTACCACGAAGTCAACCATTTATATGGCATAAAAGGGAAAATAATTTCATTTGATAAAAATAAGACAATTCAGTCACGCCATTTTTGCAGTTCACACTGTAATTGTGCCGTTTCAGATGTTGGTTTCAATAACATGGCGGCATGCCACCCAGCTGGTTAGAACTGGTCATTCGAAAATAAAAAAAAATAAAAGCAAAAAATAAACGAAATTTCTTTTATTTTTTCCTTTTTTTTATATAATATGTGGAGGAAAGGGACTCTTTCGAAAACCGTGATGCGAGTTCCACTGTAATTGTCATGGCGTGACTCTTATACACAGACTTTATCAAATACAACAAATAAATCTTAACCAACAATTGAAAAGACGCTATCAGCTTTAATAAACAAAACACTGTAAGTATTTTCCTCGCAGAGCGTAGGCCACCCACGCAAACCAACAATATCATCGGGTACACACTTAATCTAGCTCGGTAAAATCTCCAACAGCCGATTACTTCGGCATTCACTTTTGCTGATATCTCTGCAAAATATCTGTTTGTTAGCTGATATCTCAGCAACATTTTATTTGTTAGCTGAGTCTCGGCAATTGTTTGACTGAATCTCAGCAAAATAAATTGCAGAATTACTCGGCTGTTGGAATCTCGGCGAAAAAAATTAAGTGTGTAGGGAAAACTTTCTCCTATACTATGATGCTATTGATTTGCGTGGACGATCTTTTATGTAAGAGGAAATGTCTTGAGGCCGGCGCACAATAGATACGTTTTCGGGTTTTTTGACAGATAATGCATGGGCTAACTGTCAAAAAACCTGAAAACGTATCTATTGTGCGCCGGCCTTTACACAGTTTTGTTTACATTAGCTCATAGGCCCTTTTCAATTATTGGGCGAGACATTTGTTTTTCGCAACTAATGTGTTGTACTTACAATGAGTTGCAGTAAAAATCAGGATAAAAACGATAAAAATGCCATTAAAACTTGTGTTATCGATGGTTGCGGGGCAAACTCGAAAACGAGTCCATATCTTTTCTTTTTGAAAGTACCGCAAAACCCCGAACGGAGGATCGATTGGTGCGATGCTATGGGAGTAGCAGTTCAGAAGGGCAGAGTCTACTGCTGTACTCGGCATTTCGATATCCCCGGAGACTTTGATGGCGACGCACCTTCAGATAAATCAAGTGGTATCCGGTTGAAGCTAAAAAGCCATGTCTTGCCTCATAAGGATATATCGATTCAATGTAAGTATTTTAGTTTTTCAGTTTATCAAGAATATCCTGTATTTTTTCTGCTCTGTTCTTCACTCAGTTGATAAGTTATTCACGTAATAAAATGCTTTTTTTATAAATGCTGGTAGTTACCTGACATTTTATTAATCAATCGAGTGCAAGGCATGAGCCAGCAAACAGTGCATACAATTTGGATTAACAATTAATACAACTGTACTTTATGTTTTCTATTGTAGATGAAACCAGGAATATTTATCAGCTGTTTGAAATTATGAAAACCACGAAAAAAATCGAAAAACCAAACAGATATTTGCTACCGGCGATTGAACAAGATCTCAATATCAAAGTTCCTTTGAATATTAAACCTGCAACTATGAATGAAACATACGATTACGTTATCGCTAAAATCAAGGATTATTTCAAATCGGACCTTCCTAAGTCAAAATATCAGTTAGTGCAGATGTTGAAGGGCCACAGAGATAAAATTGCGGAAATGGTCAATAAGAAAAATATGAAGGGTGCTCTGCATGGTACAGTATTGCTGAAAACGGTTCAACCATTTCTTCAGTACGAAGCGAATGGAAATTTGGATTTACCAATCGGGCACAAAGAGCTAGAACAGTTATATTTCGAGTTGGAATCCAATCAAATAAAAGCTTTCTTCCGTCCACCTAAAAATGTAACATATAACAGTGATGCTGATGGTAACTTTAAAGATCTATTTTTCTTACCTGGAATACGCGTAAATTTGTCCCTTCCCTTCTTGGAGTTGGTTAGAGAAGTGGCATTGAATTCTGAAAAGTACATCGTGAATGTTAAAAGCATCCCCAAAGCTTCTGAAGGAAAACCGAATGGTTTGGAGTGGTTCCAGAAAGTGGATAAACCTTACAGGTTGAAATCTTCTAAGGTTGGTCAATATGTCACGTTGGAGTATGTAGACATCCTGATAAATCTTTTCGAGACATTTGAATTCATGATGAGTCAACGTCAAAGATCCACTTTGATATTTCTTTTGCAGCAAACAAGAAAGGATTTGTCAGAATATGAAATGAAGGAACTTCAAATCACCTACAGTTGCTTTTTGTCTAACTACAAGTACTATCGAATCATAAACGAAGACATCGCACAAGAAATTGGAGATGAGGAATTTTACATGTTTGTGAAGGAAGTAATCAATCCTGAATTGAATTTTCAGTTCATAAACGCAATCGATAGCAATGTAGCGAGCATCGACAAAATTGATCAATACTTTCGACCAATCCTTGGTTACATAAATGAGGAAGCTGGGTTTACTGACGGAGAACCGTACCTGACTTTCGCTGATCAATTGAAGAAGGCAATTAGTTACACGTGTCAGGAGTGTAACATAACCTTTGAGTCACCACTTGCTCATCTCACCGTCAAAGAACATCGATTTTGCGGTACCAAAAAGTGGAAATGTGTTCACTGTAATGCGGCGTTTTTAGAAACAAAGCTTGCTACTGATATGTGGGCTCACAAGTGTCCCTATACGTTTTGTAAATAAAGTTTACCAATAAATGAGAATATACTCTATGTGTAATTATTATTATTCAGTATATATCATCCCGGTCCCACCACTGAGTTCCCGTGCCAACAGCTGCCCTTCCCATTTGCACTCGTCAGCTCATGCAATACTCTAGACTCACATGGGTGGTTGTATGCGGGTTCTCCCCTCGATAGGCTCAAATGTCCGTGTCCATCCAGGTTCTGACGCAAATGATGCAAAGTTATCACTTCGTATATTACTACTATTACTAGGTACTGGTTTACTGGATAGGTCGCCAAGGTTGTCCCCAAGAAATCTTTATTTTATTTTTTTAATTTATCATTTTTCATGCTCAGTTAGCGCTCAACTTCCAAGCCGAGCAGTCGATGTTTTTGGACAACCAAGTTTTGGAAGTCGTTCACGGACTATTGTACGTTTATGTATCGATTATTTTCTATCGTCGTTTCAAGTATCGCGTTCGCGTTTGCCGCGACGTCATATTCCGCGATGCCGCGCCGCGAAAATACGTTTCGCGTTGACTGTTCGCGTTTCCGAAGATCCTCTCTCATGACGAGATCCATAAGTTTATCGGGAAAGAATTCGGTCTTACGCGCAAAAACGTGCTTCTACTCCAATCAAGCAGACAGCTTGGATGTACCTTCGTGAAGGTCAACAACCTCGAACTTGCCAAAAAGATCGTGGGGAAACACGATAGCAAGCACGAGTTCGTGTTTGATGGCAAGTCCTACAAACTACGGATTACGATGGAGGACGATGCGGTGGAGATAAAGTTGCTCGAACTACCCGAAAGCATCACCAACGACCCGGTCGCAGTTTTCCTCGCCGACTACGGAGAAGTTATTAGTGTTCGTGACCTAATGTGCGATGACCGATACAGTGAATTTGGTGGTGTTAATACCGGTGTTCGTGTTGCTCGAATGGTAGTAACGAAGAACATTCCTTCACTCGTGATAATCCAGGGCGAAGAAACTGCGGTTGGATACAAATAACTGCTAGTGCAGAAGCTCGTAGCGGATCAATCCTACGCTAACGTAACGAAGGGAAAACCGTCCATACCTCAACCGATGAAACAGATATCGGATCCACGAAAACCAACGAGCAAGTGAGACACGAGTTGCAGCAGCACAACGGAAAAACACAATGCCGCCACCAGCTGCACCAACTACAGCAAAACCCTCCGCAATGCAAGCTATTGTCCAACTATCGCCGCTGACAATCCCGATCGGTACCATCGTATCTCATCGCAGGACCGATGGCAACGACACGGACAGCTCACAAACATCTCTTGCTTCGAACAACAGCCGACGCACGCGTAGGCAACCACCGGGTAAGAAAATGCGACACTCCGGAGATGATATCACCTCCGAACACCAAGAAATCACATCAGACATCAGACATCAGAGTTTCCGATGAAGAAATACAGTAATAATGGAGTACGTCAGCTGTAATATCGGAACCATAAATATAAACACCATCACCAACCAAACCAAGCTAAATGCCCTTTAAACGTTCGTTCGCACAATGGAGCTAGACATTGTGTTTCTGCAGGAGGTTGAAAATGAACAGCTTGCATTACCCGGCTATATCGTTGACCATGCGAGAAGAGGAACGGCAATTGCTCTAAAAGAACATATTAAATTCTCGCACGTAGAGAAGAGCCTGAACGGGAGATTGCTCGCCCTTCGTGTTCACAACAATACGTTTTGTAATGTGTATGCTCCATCGGGTTCCGTGCTTCGTTCCGAACGAGAGTGGTTTTTTAATAACACCATCGCGTATTATCTTCGTCACCGCACCGATCACATCATCCTTGGAGGTGACTTCAACTGCGTGATTCGACAATGCGATGCGACGGGGCTCGCTCTTCAAGTCTCCGTTCAGCAGCTACATCTGCATGACGTGTGGCAGCAGCTCCGTCAACGAGAGATGGAATACACTTACATCACACACAACTCCTTGTCCAAGCTCGATCGGCTATATGTAAGCGCCGGTCTCCAAGAACAGCTGAGATCAACAGCTGCCCATGTTTGCTGCTTCTCGGACCACAAAGCCGTCACGGTGAGAATTTGCCTTGTCGTGGTTTCTGGGCTCTTCGTCCCCACCCTGACCACAGAAAATATAGACGAGTTTCAAATACGGTGACAATATTGGACTCGTCAACGCCGAAATTATTCGTCGTGGATGGAATGGTGGCTGTCGTGCGCAAAGCCTAAAATAAAGTCCTTCTTCTGCTGGATGTCAAAAATAGCATTCGACGAATTCAATCGTGAACAGCAACGGCTTCACGTTCTACTATGGCATGCGTACGATGGCTACCAAAACAACCGCGCTATGCTCACTATCATCAACCGGGTAAAAGCCGAAATGCTTTTATATCAACGAAGTTTTTCCGAAATGTTTGTGCGAACGAACGAAACCTACGTTGCTGGTGAGCCGTTGTCGACCTAGGCGGCGTCGAAGGACCACCATCGAGCAACTGCAAAACAAGAGAGACGATATCATCGGTGATTCTGCTGCGATACAGGATCATATGGTCCAATTCTTCACCGATCTATACGCACACGGTCATGTGGACGAAGAAGAAGAAGAAGAAGATGGACCCTTTCAGTGCGAGAGAGTCATCCCCCAGCACGATGCCGCAAATGAAGACTGCATGAATGAGGTAACAATGGCTGAAATACTTTCTGCCATCCGCACAAGCACATCCAGAAAATCACCAGGATGGGCTGCCAAAAAAGTTTTATCTGCGTACTTTCAATGTGATACATCGTGAACTGAACCTGATTTTGAACGAAGCTATCAGGTCAAATTTCCCGAGTCAGTTCGTCGATGGAGTGATATTGTTGGTGAAGGAACAAGGTGCGGGGGACACCGCACGTTCATACAGGCCAATTAGTCTAGTCAATTATGACTATAAAATTCTCTCGCGTGTCCTAAAACAGTGACTTGAAAATGTATTCCGTGCCCATGGTGTTTTGACTGCCTCGCAAAAATGTGCAAATACTGGACGCAATATCTTCCAGGCTACGTTAGCTTTGAAAGATAAAAATTGCACAGCTGAAAGCGAACAGGCAAAATGGGAAACTGATCTCTTTCGATCTCGATCATGAATTCGATCGTGTGGACCAACGCTTCTTGTTCGATACGATGCGAGGTATGGGATTCAACCCGGCGTTCGTGGATTTGCTCTCCCATATATCAACAGCTTCTACATCTCACTTGCTTATCAACGGGCGCCTCTCTGCACCCTTCCAAATCGAACGTTCGGTCCGCCAAGGGGATCCTCTCTCGATGTATCTTTTTGTACTCTATCTGCACCCACTCTTGCGGCGTTTAGAACAAGTGTGTGGAGCAGATCTAATCGTCGCATACGCAGATGACATCAGTGCCATCGTTACCAGCGTCGATAAGCTCGATGCGATGCGGGATTTGTTCCGACGTTTTGAAAGAGTAGCAGGAGCGCGCTTGAATGAAGCTTAAACAACGGCAATCGACGTCGGCCTCATTAACAATCCGTTAACTGTGCCGTGGCTTCATACCGAAAACACCATCAAAATTCTCGGAGTTATTTTCGCCAACTCGGTGCGGGTAATGACCAAGTTGAATTGGGACCTACTCGTGACAAACTTCGCTCGGCAAGTGTGGCTACACTCGTTACGCAGTCTATCCTTACGACCATTTCGATGGAGCAGCTAGCGCGAAAACGGGAGGATGGCGGTCTCAACTTACAACTACCAGCGTTCAAGTGTGAGGCATTGCTCTCGATGATGTCACAAAAGTGAGGTTACCCCAACGGTGTAGCTCCCTATAACAGCGGTAGCGATACAATCTATCAGAGATGACATTATCCTTAACGTAGTAAAAGGGCATGTGAAATTTTTGTTTCACGAGCCAATAACGAAAGCGTCTAACGGTACGCTGGGGGTAATTAAAGTACATTTCTCGCTGTATTTAATGAAATTTAAGTACATTTCTCGCTGTACATTAATGGAGCTAATGTACTTAATTTATGCGACTTGTAATTAAAGCTGAAATTTGTACTAAAAAGTAATTATATCAAAAAATTTCCGACAAATAGATAGAGAAGCTGGTTCTGCGGTCGTGTCTAGGACACAACCCTTTGATTTTTTTTTTAATTGGGTGCCCCCCTAAAAATCAAGAATTCATTTTAATTCACTGTAAACCATAGTATGTGCAGGTATGTTGAGATTTCCATAAAGTAATTATTTTAACAACCCAAAATAATGAAAACACTCTCAATTCGATAATTTTAATCATACTTTATTGTTATATTTTATTCAATTTAAAAAAATATTGTTGCTTTCTCATTATAAAAACAACACAACTTCCTAAGAATGAGAAAATTAATCATATTTGACTTTCCAGTTGTCCACTGAGTAAAAGTCTAGAACATACTTATATCGTAACACGTCCTATTTTTTTGGTACCGCCATCTTTATGAATTTTGTATATTGTCTCGATGATGGTCGTATACTGCCTAACTAGTTTCAGAGACGAACCAGCCCAAGGCTAAAAGTCTCTTCAATAAAGAAAAAAAAAAAAAAAAAAAAAACTGCCTAACTAAAGTTGTTATGACATTGTCGTCCGAAAGTTTTTTTTAGGAAGTGACTACATAAACACTTTTCTAGAATAGTTGAAAACGATATCTCGCCATCTTACCCCTCGTTCGGGTGATTTTTTAAATTGGATACCCCCGTAAAAATTTAAAATCCATCGAAATTTACAGTAATCAACTTTGGGATGCGATGGGATGTTGAGATTATAATTGTGCAGTTGTTGTAAAATATATTTTGTAGAAATTTTTTGTGATAACATTTTTCTTGAACATTTGGAAATGTTATCTTAACGTTTTATATCTCATTTTGATGGTTTAAAAAAAAAAATCGCCTTAGTTCTAAACCTAAAAGCAAGGTTGCAAAGACTCATTTCAGCTAAAACAATGTTTTTCTAAATTATGAAATAATTAGATGCCATGATCAAATTTTGAATTGGTAGGATACAAGAATGTGTTTGACATATTAAACCTGTTTATTTCACTTCATGAGAGTCACAATCAGCGATTTTTTCACAAACTCACTCACTCACTCACTCACTCACTCAGCGATCAGCAAATCGCTGATTGTGACTCATAGAAAACAAAATTTACAGGTTTTATGTTTCCAACGCATACTTTGTAACCTCTTCTTGTAAGTTACAAGTAAAACATGCCATCATACCATCTTTTGGTTTTATTATTCCGAAAAACATTATTTTAGCTGAAATGAGTCTTTGCAACCTTGCCTAAAAGAAGGACTCTGTAATGATGAAACTTGATGACGCCACCACACCTTGCTCTGCTTAAAGTAGTATAAAAACCAGTATAGTTTTTATGACTCAGCTGAGTTTTTAATTGCAAATTTTCAAGCAGTTTTCCATTGGCTTGCAAAATGAAATCGATTTACTCCGCAGTACTTAGCTCATAACCATATCACTAATATCTATATAAAGAAAGAGAGAAGGATTAGTAATTTCCATTTATTCCACTATTTTATTTGCTTATCCTTGACAGATATGCGTATTTCGTCTACAATGTGCAGACTTCTTCAGTGTCTTGTACTAATACTCGACTGAAAAAAACCATCGCAAACTACCGAATATATTACCTAGGTACCTAAGTACATTTGTACTTAAAGCTAGGTAAACATAAATCTAATGTCCTATAGAAGCAGGAACTCTACTGCTTACTCGTTAGTTTACCTAGCTTTAAGTAAAAATGTACTTAGGTTAGTATATATTCAGTAGTTTGCTATGGTTTTCTTCAGTCGAGTATTAATACAGTGTCGTATTTGTGTATCGGAGTATCGTGAACCTCTGACGGCACAACTTCGAAAAGGCGAACAGGTAGAACATACCCCGCTTTTCATCAAAACCTTTGAATTTTGTAAAACATTACTTACCCAAAGTAATATCTTACAATACCCCGATTTTG